GTATTCATGTATTCAACACTTGCTACTACCCATGATAATCTATGTCCTATTTTTCATTCTTCCTTAAAATCATCCTGATGACTTTATAACTATTCTTTTCTGTATTTTAAAGATGAGGAGACAATATAAAAAAAAAACTTGAGGTCACTTGATAAGTTCATGCAGTTAGTATGACAGAGAATTCAAACCAGGTTTTTTGTCTGAAGCCAAGGTTCCAAATGATATCAGGACCTATATTGCTACCATGTGTCTATTCTCAGCCCTGCATAATGGAAGTAACTGGGCTGTTGCCTAGGACTTGTTTATAAGGATATTGGTGGTATTATTAAAGTCAGACCAAGAGCCTGAGAAGTTGAGTTAGGAGGAACGAGAACAGTTTAGGACAGACACTAGAACTTTGTGATACTGGCCCAATGGAGTGTAATGCTGTGGAGCCGCTGATTTCTTAGAACCTTGGAGAGACACTTAGTATGCTCTCGAATCACCTAAAGGCATAGTAAAACATAAATTGCTAGGCTATATGCTTGGAACCTCTGATTTAGGAGGTTAGAGACAGAGCTGAGAATCTACCTTTCTAGTAAGTTCCTACATAATGCTTCTAGTTCTGGGATAACACTTGGGGAACCCCATAGAGAAAAGTGCAAGGGTTTAGGATCTGAGTAGGTAAGTGTTTAAATATATATTCTTCTGCTAACCAGTTATGGGAGTCTTAGGTTCTTTTTTTTTTGTTTGTGTGTGTGTGAAAATACTGTACAGAGGGGGTTACAATTACATGAGGAGAGTCTTAGGTTCTTCTGAAGAATTAGCAGGGCATTATAGAAAGGACAGAGTCTAGTTAAGTGTTGACCTAATTTTTGTAGAAGTTCTAGAGAGATGTGAAGGACATGAGGGAGGAGTTGGGTTTTATTTTCTTTTTATAAAACATCCCAATAAACTCAGCTCCCTCCAACTAGTTGCAGTTTGTTTAACAAGAATGGACTAAGAAACTGAGTTGGGTATCTAAACACAAAGAGAACCTCACACACTTACCTCCTTAGAATTATCCCTTAGAGTATTTATCATTAGATGATTTCTATATATTAAATATTTTCCAATTCTCTGTCATTTCATTCCTTCACCAACTGAAGTCTCAAGTATTCCATCTTTTGGGGGGAAGAAAGTTTCTCTGCTTTTTAGAGAATGCAACATATTTATTGAGCGCCATCTGCTGCTCAATGAGCCAAATAAAAATCTTGAGGAATTTCTTCTCTCAGTGTTGCAAAATCATGAAACTATATGTAGGTCAGGCCCTTTAGAGAGATGTTGAGTGTATACAAAGATGAACTAGTGCTGATTCTCCCCCAGTAGCATTGTAATGACATGTTTAAGGGCATATGTACCTACCCGAGTTGCTCTGCTTTGAGTCTTGAGCAGCTCCATGCACAGGCATTTCTCCATACAAGTTTCCAGGTTGTACCTTGTAAAAGGGAAAGTTTGAGAGTCCGATCTCTCTACCTACAGAAGCTGGTAGATTTATCACATGGTATTCTGTCTACATGCATGCTTGTCATTTTCCCCAGAGGGTGTAGGTCTGGTAGTTTTTACCCTGGTAATTCTAGTACTTGGTCGATAGCAGAGATACAGCATATTAAACCCAGGGCACCATGTGCTTGTTTAACATGAATGAGTGAATGATTTAAGATTGCAGTAATGAGAACAGAAGGGAAGGTAACGAACATATTAGTTTGGGGCCATTAAACTTGTTTACTGGATGGGTCTGGAGGAATTCATGCCAACAATAAAATGTTGAAATAATAAAGTAAAATATATTAAAGAAATGTTTTAAGAACAAAATGCTTTAAAACTTTTTACACATCAACATTGAGGGTTTATGTAGTGTTTATATTTTGAAACATAAGCCAAATACTAATGGATGGCAGTCGTATTTGCTCCTAACAAGTCATTTAAAAAGTTTTTAGCTTTAAATTAACACTGACCAGCTTTCTACCTAATTAGTGTAGCTTAACAATCATATCTTACTGAGATTATATTACCCCTAAAAGGCTTCATTGTTATTAAAAGTATTATAAACTTGTTACTAATGAATAGTTATTGCTATAAAAAGAAATTTGAAATGTTTTAGTAGGTAAGAATATCACAAATCTGAGAAGTGCTCTTTTTTTTTTTTTTTTTTTTTGGGTCCGGTGGTGAGGCCTGAACTCTGGGCCTGGGCGCTGTCCCTCAGCTCTTCAGCTAGCGCTCTACCACTTGAGCCACAGTACCACTTCCGGCTTTTTTTTCTTTTCTTTTTTTGCTTATGTGGTGCTGAGGAATCGAACCCAGGGCCTTATGCATGCAAGGCAAGCACTCTACTACTGAGCCACCTTCCCAGTCCCCCCCCCCCCCCCCTTTTTTTTTTTGATTGGTTGTGGGGCTTGAACTCTGGGCCTGGATGATGTCCTTCAGCTCTTTAGCTTAAAGCTGAGCACTCTACCACTTGAGCCACAGAGTCACTTCCAGTTTTCTGGAGATAAGAGTCTCATGGATGCTTCTGCCTGGGCTGGCTTTGAACTGTGTTCTTCAGATCTCAGCCTCCTGAGTAGCTAGGATGACAAGCCTGAGCCATTGGCACCCAGCTGAGAAGTGCTGTTTTCATCTAGCAACTGTCTGTCAGCACACTTAATTAAGACCCTGACAAAATGATCAAGTTCAAGCATACATTTCTCATTCGTAAAGAAATATGGCACTTGTCTTTGTAAAGACAGCATTGTTTCCTGAGTTCAGTGACTGGAGAAGTGGCGGCACAGATGAGTTCTCTTCTCGGGGTTGAGTCACATTGCAGTAATAATGGAGAATGGTTGAGAATCACCGTGGCAGTGTGACACACTTGTTAACTCTGCAGCCAGACTGATTTATCTGTCCTAGAGACTGGCCCTTTCCTTGAATAGCAGAGTAATTTATTCAGACATTTCTTCAGGAGGGTTGGAGTAAAGCAACTACCTAAATAAAGTTTTGTTTTTTTTTTTTTTTTTAACTGAAATCTGTTCGTAATTTTTATTTTTTTCATCACCATTCTGCTTGCTTAATCTTTCAAGGCCATTTCAAGTAAAACAGAGTGCCTAATACTACTGCAGTAAAATTGGAGCCATGTGGATGGCTTGTGATTTGCTCATCTATTTTTAATTCCAAGTGCTGTCTTTGGAATCCACATTTTGAATGGCTTGGGAATAAACCTTTTTTCCTCCTCTTTAGTATTTGGAGCATAAGGTTGTATGACTTAATTTTTTCGTCTTCTTTTTGTTTTTTTTGGTCCAGTCGTAGGGCCTGAACTCTGGGCCTGAGTGCTGTCCCTCAGCTCTTCACCTCAAGGTTAGCGCTCTATCACTTGAGCCACAGCGCCACTTCCGGCTTTTTTTTGTGCTTATGTGGTGCTGAGGAATCAAACCCAGGGCCTCATGCATGCAAGGCAAGCGCTCTACCACTGAGCCACCTTCCCAGCCCAATTTTTTTTACACAATGGTGGTATAGAAATATCTCAGAGTAGCCGGGCGCCGGTGGCTCACGCCTGTAATCCTAGCTACTCAGGAGGCTGAGATCTGAGAATCGCGGTTCAAAGCCAGCCCGGGCAGAAAAGACCGTGAGACTCCTATCTCCAATAAACCACTAGAAAACCGGAAGTGGTGCTGTAGCTCAAGTGGTAGAGCGCTCGCCTTGAGCTGAAGAGCTGAGGGACAGTGCCCAGGCCCAGAGTTCAAGCCCCATGACCGACAAAAAAAAAAAAAAAGAAATATCTCAGAGTAAACTTATTTCTTGGGAATGAACCTGATATGGAAAGCTTTGCTGAAATGATTTCAGCTGCCTGTGCTAGCCATCATCTGTCCCCATGAAAAGGCAAGAGAAGTCAAGTAGATCTGAGTAGTCTCCATCTGACTGAGCATTTAGCTTCTCTCTTTCAGCTGACTGTGAGCATTTAGCTACTCTTCCTCCATCTGACTGTGAGGTTATAACAGCTTATCTCCATCTTTGCTTCTCAAAAAAACTCCTGTCCTTTAACCTATTTGGGTAATGCACTGCTCTCTTTTTAATTATTTAGGTGTAAATTACCTCTAATACAGAGGGCAGAGGTCCTATTTCCTTTTTTTTTTTTTGATGGGGGGGACTTGAACTCAGGGCTTAGGTGTTGTCCCTGAGCTTCTTTTGCTCAAGGCTAATTGTTTTCTACTTGAGCCACAGCTGTGCTTTCAGCTTTTTGGTAGTTTATTGGACATGAGAGTTTCATGGAATTTCCTGCTTAGTCTGGTTTCAAACTACAATACGCAGATCTTAGCCTTCTGAGTAGCTAGGATTATAGGTATGAGCCACTGGCTCCAGGTACATTTTATATTTTGAATTCTTCAAAATATGACTGTCCAGTCAGTAATTATATTTGCATAAAACTATTATAGGTACTGAACATGTAGTTCAGTGCTACTCTGCAAAACTCTTGGATTCCCTTCCTAGCATCAAAAACAAAAAAAACAAGCCCACCTTGAAAATCCAATGCTTACTGCAATGAGGGGGCCCAAGTTTAGACATTTTCCCCTTCCCTCCCTCCTTCCTACTTTTGTTCTTCTCTATTTTGGCAATTGAACTCAGTCTTCTAACTTGTCAGACATTCACTCTACTAGCTACACCTTTAGCCTTTTTTGCTTTGTTTTTAAATAGGGCCTAAAGTTTAGGCTTGGACCAGAATCCTTCCATTTAGTTCCTGCTTCTCATATAGCTAGGATGACTGGTATGTGCTACTAAGCCCCATGCTTATTGATTTCACATGGAGGTTTCTCACACTTTTTGCCTGAGCAAAATGACTCTAGGCCAGCCTTCAACTTTGAAATCCTGTGGTTCTTTACCTCTCGTGTAGCTGGGATTACAAGAGCCACCACACTCAGCAGATTTGTTTCCTTTAATATGGTGTTTTGATAAAGGTAGATTTCTAAGAAGAGCCTTGCTAATCAAACTTGGTAAATCTTTTCTTTTCCTAGGGTGATTGTGTTGTTACGGTACTGCTTGCCGAGGAGGACAAAGTTGAAGATGATGTCGTGTTTTACTTGGTATTTTCGGGTTCCACCCTCCATCATTATACAAGTACTCGTAAAGTCAGCTCAGATACCTTGGAGACCATTGCTCCTGGTAAGTGTCTGAGTGGAATCTTTTGTCACATTTACTAGATAGCTACTTATCTCTTGGTCTGATCCACCATCAGAAAGTTGGTGATTGGTGTTTGGAGATGAGCTTTCTCAGCGGAACTTAAAGTAAACAATTTATGTATTTTCATCAAAATTAAGAATAATACTCCTTGATAGAGAACTTTTGAAAATATCAACAGTTTTAACTATTTCCCTTTAGAGAAAAGTTACAGTTGAACTACCAACATTTTGTAGTGCTTCTACTTTGTAGGTATGAGTTGGATTAAAAAAATTACAAAGTTTGTGAAGCACTTCAAATATCTGGCCTTGCTGGTATTGAATTGTGTTATGTTCTTTTTTATTCCCATGTTATTTCATATGAACTTATTTTTTGTCTGGTACTTACAAAATTCTGGAAATTATACCCTTCTCAAGAACTGAGATTATTATGACAATTGAGAGTTATATTTGTACTTCTGGTCAGAAATGATTTTGGGAAGTGTAGGATTTAAAAATTCTAGTCCAGGCCTAGGATGAGCCCACACCCCCAATTTTCAGGAAGAGGAAATTAAAGAGTGTGGTCAGGATAGATGTCAGGTTCCTTTCTGAAGTGTATTAGGTATCTTGTTTGGTAACATGAAGCTCCCAACAACTTGTTTCCTGTAGTGGATGGATATCCAGCAGGGGCCATTCAGTACCATAGTTCCTGAATATTTATTATATTTATTATGCACTGATGATAGAGAGAGACAGGTCTAGGTAGAATCAGTCTCTGACTGCACTCCTACTAGACATATATATAATTTTTGTGAAATTATTCTTTTCTAATTAGAAAGCTTTTAGGAGTAAAAGGTTGGGGGGATGAGAGAGAGGATCTGCTACACACATACATACATATATACATATACATACATCTATACACACATATTGGTTAGGTACTAAGAGAATATAAGGAGATAAAGGAGAAATTACAGATCTGATAAGGATGTAGCTCTGGTCCTGGCTGTGATACTTGGCCCCAAATTTCCCAGGTTTCCTCTCTTGGAGAGACAGGTTCCTGTAAACTCTTACACTTCCATTAGCCAGGGCCCTAAATTAGGAAAGGTGGCAAGCATTTATTTTCTTTGAAGTCATTGTCTGCCTTACTTAAGGATTATACTTGCAGCCTAGTGCTCTTAACTTTACAAGTAGCTCCTTGCACCGTTTTTCCAGCCCACCATCCCGAACCAGGGCCCATTTCTTTCCTTGGCTTTGGAACCAGGACACCGATGTTTTCTTTGTACACACCCTTTGCAGCCACACCCCTCCATGGGTGTCCATTTGTATTTACTGACTCTGAGTATTGTTGCCCTAGCAACCAAGCCAACTGGAATGGGCAGTGGACTCTGCCACTCTCCTCTATTTTTGTCCGAATCCCCAGAAATCATTCCAGACCCATTCTCGTGGATCAGGAATCCTCTTCCTAACTTCTTCGGTTTTTGCTATCCACACACCTTTTCCCTTAGCCATTTCTCATCCTATCTGTAGTGCCATGGGCTCAGTATTTTCTCCCTCTCCCAGTTGGCCTGATGGGTCTAGTACCAAATTTAGTCAGGCTGCCTATAGGAGGTGCTGACCACAGCAGAGGCTCCCCAGTGCTGATGAGGCAGCACCTCACTTAGCATGTCTGGTCTGATATGGTGGGTGTACAGATGATCAGCAGAGAAGATTCCCACCTGGAGCCTCCTGTTGACGTCGTTACAGGATTTTGGTTTGTTTGTTTGTCTTTCCAGCCATTGCCCTTTGGATTAGCTTAGGAATTAGTGGCGGAAGACTAGAAGTAAGCTATATAGGGGGTAAAGTTAGTGTTGAATTTCTTTTTTAAAAATATCCTTAAAAAAAAAAAAAAGCTTAAACTGTCTTCTAGATGTTGTAGACTTCTTCTTGAATTCAACCTTTTCCCCCTTCTACAGGTCCTTATTTTACTGCCTCCTTTCAGCATTCCCTCTCTTCTCTTTGCTTATTTTTCTCCATTGCCCTTCTCAATTATTTTCCTCTAATACCTGGGTTTGAACTCAGGGCCTCATGCTTGTTTGGCTGCTGTCTTTACCACTTGAGCCACACCTCCATCCCAGCATTTTTCTAGTGATTTGGGTGAGAGGGAGTCTTGCAGACTTTTCTGCCCAGGTTGGCTTCAAACCTCAGTCCTCCAGATACCATTCTCCTGTGTAGCTAGGATTATAGGTGTGAGTCATTGGCACCTGGCTGTACTTCTCAGTTTTTACACCTTATATATTTTGTTTATATATGTTATTTTTTGTCCTGTACTTACCTAAAGTGTTGAATATGGAAGAAACAAGGGTTTTATTTGTTTTGTTCATTGGTGTATTCAAAGAAAACACCCTATCAGCACTTCTGGTGAGTTGAAATTCATCCTGGTTTTCAGAAGCCAGTCTTGTAGAAAGGTACATCCACCCCCTCCCCCCTTTTTTTCTTTGATTAAATAAATGCAAAAGGAGTCTCTGGCTTCTTGAATTGAATTCATAGCCTGGAGCAGGAGTCTGTGTCTCCTTCCAGAACTACCTTTGATGATTTCTGTGCGTCAGTTAGTAGTAATGATAGCCTCAGATTTCCTGTCTGCTGAGGGCAGTTGGATTAATCAAGATTTCTTTTGATGGAAAGTCTGTACAATGCTTTGTGCATCCCAGTTACTAGCTAATTGTGAGCTGGCTTTTCGCAGCAGCTGCTTCTGATAGCCACGTCTGTGCACCCTTTCTGCTTACGTGTGGACTAGCTCTGCAATTCCTAGTCATTTGGGCTGACTATGAGAAGAAAAAGAGCTTTGTGCCTTGTTCTTGCTTTTAAGGTCATGCTTTATCCAGATTGCTGGTTCTGACTTATTATGAGTTCTCTGTATATTTCACTGTCACTATTTTGTAACATTTTAGTCCTTACTAAAACTAGATGATTGATTGACCTTCAGAAGGCAGCTACTTCTTGGTGTTGGTCTGTAACCTTTTATCTTATAATAGTTCCTACAGATAGGTTGGGAAAGGAGACATTTGTAAATGGCCTTCTAAAACAAACCTTTCACTTCAAACACTGAAATTATACTTGCGTCCCATTTTCTCCCTCCTCCTGAATCCCCCCTGCCATGTTTGAATGCTTTCTAGCAAGAACCTAGAGAGATTATAATCTTTCGAGGTGATTTACAGTATATTTTCTTGCCTTATAGTATCTTCCTTTAGAAGCAAAAGATTGGTTATAATTCTCCTTTTAAAAAAAGATTTTGGTCAGCCATGGGGCTTAAATTCATGGCCAAGGCACTGTCCCTGAGCTTTTCTGCTCAAGGCTGGTACTTTACCACTTTGAGCCACAGTGCCACTTCTGGTTTTCTGATGGTTAATTACAGATAAAAGTCTCAGGGACTTTCTGGGTTGGCTTTGAACTATAATCCTCAGATCCCAGCCTCCTGAATAGTTAGGATTTACAGGCATGAACCACCAGAACTGGTCTAATTCTCCCTTTTATTAAGTAAAAGTATGTACCCCTTGGGTGACATGTGTGTAGTGATTTTGACCTCCTACTTTGTCTGAGTTGTTTGAATGTTTTTTTAATATAATGTACAGTAATATTTAATACAAAAATTTTGATGATTGAAAAACACGTTCTCTTGAAACTAAACCCACTTTTGCACTAAATAGGATCAAAACAGATCAAGTCTTACAGTAAATACTACATTCAGGCTACCTATGAGATACCTGGCACAAGAGTATAATTTGCTGTGAAATGTGGGTCTTGCACCATGACCCTTGTCAACCTGAGGGGATTACTGTGTTCTGTGCAGGTGTGCTTATCCTTTCCTATTCCTGGCTGCTCAGTTCACTTTTTGAGCATGGGGGGGAGGTAAGCCCCTCTTACTTAACTACCCCTCTGATGTGACAACATCAGGTTCCAATAAAGATTCTCTGTTAAACTGCAACAGAGAGGTAGGGAGATAATGCCCCTGACATCAGGACACATTAGGAAGGTTGGCAAGCTGAGCAGCCTGGGTAGAATAGGCAGTAGTTAGCAGCAGAGAACAAGTGGTGGGCCAGGGAGAAAGTAAGACTGACAGTACTTAGAGCCAGGACCTTGAGCTGCTGCCCACATCTGCACTGAGTCCCAGGTGTCCAGCCTTGGGGCTGGAGCCTGAGGCCTAAATCCCACGCCAAAACCTTAGCTGTTAGGGGCCCAAATCCTGTGATGTTATCTTGCCTGTCAGAGGCCAGGGGCCCAGTGCCACTGCTGCCCATGTTCTCCACCCTGCTGCTGCAGTACTCAAAAGGACCTGGACTGAACTGAGCTAGTTTCTCCTTGCCTGTGCAAGATTTCCATCTGGGTAGAACAAAGGGATATGATAGTGTGTGTGGGGGGAAAGGGTTGTTAGTTAGCAGCCTAGCTAGAGGTAGAGGCTTTAGAAGTATAGGCTTTACAGGTATATTCTAGAATACAGGAAATCACATTTTTTTTTTTTTTTTAGCATTAATTAGCCCCTTTTATACTCCTATACATATAGAGGCATTTCCCCAAATGTACTATCTAGCATCAGACCACCACAATCAAGCAGTGGTTGCATACTTTTCTACTAGTCCTCGCTCCTATCATAGTATCTGCAGACAAAATTTTCCCTTAACTTTATATCCATTCAAAAAGAAGAAAAGGACACCAGATTCTGAAATACATCGATGCCAAACAGAGAAGTGAGAGCATTCTTACTGTATTTTCCATCACTGAAGCACCCTTTCTTTCAGAGATTGACATCTGTGAGGGACTGGGTGTGGCTGATCTAGCAAGCTCTGTTGGGGTTCCTTTTTGGATAGCTGATAAAACAAAGTCCTGATTGTTCTATCCTCAGAAGAGAAGGTCCGGATGGGATGTGTTCCACTTTTAGCTTAATAGGAAATGAAGTAATCCTCGGGTCATGCTTTAGCAGTTTTGTTTATCTGTAGCAGTTTTTCGTTTCCATGGGTTGCAGATGCTTTA